CGCGGAGGCTGAATGCGTATGCCGCATACCGAATTACTGTTACGATATATGGACCTTTTCAGACATAGATACTTTTGCAACGGAGATTATGTCATAGGCGCAGGATATTTTTCAAGGGTATCAAGTGCATCTAGTTTAATCGATTAAACTGTATGAGAAAACATTATTTAAAACATTTTAGTACAAAGTAACATTTTAAAAATTATGTCAGGTTAACTATTAACGGGCTATATGAGTAAACATTTTCATAATAAGCAACTTTTTATTAAACAATTTATGAAATTAATACCATTTTTTGCAATTTTTAGAAAAATACAGTTCATCAAATTTCTAGAGGCTTTCGACGGCTAGACAGAGAAAGCACTACTGACAGGCATCCCGACGGATTTACGCAATGAAAGTACACTCTGCGCATCAAGTATTTCACTATTTCATTCAGACGTAAATGTCAGATGTAAATTTCGCTAAAACATTTATTTTATTTTCGTTTGTGTTTTTTGCTCATTACAGTTTAATAGAACCTAAGTATGGAGTTTAATAGCAAATTAAGAGGCCGCGTGATTAACAGTCAATCTCGCGAAATAATAGCCAATGTTATAGAGTTTATGAGAAGAGAAGGAAACTTTAATTCACCTTCAATACCATTTAAAAATGTAAATGATCGTGTTGCTGCAGCCACAGGAGTATCTAAAAACACTGTCGTCCGCATTTCTGGAGAGAAAAAAAGAATCGATAACCGTGAGATATCGGAATTTTCATCACCAAGAAAAACCATTAAAAAACCAAAAACAGTTAATGATATAGATGAAGCTGCACAAGAATCAAATTTTATTTTTTTATTATTAGATAGCTATTTTTGTTTCTGAGTTGTGTTCATTTACAGGCTCAATTTTTTTCCGTTTCTCCTTTTTGATTTTATATGGGGTTTCAAGTTGTTTTTGACTTATTTCGACGTAAATCACAACAACACACTTTTTTAATAAAGCAAACAAGTGTTAAGAGGTATATGTACGTGTAAACTACAATTACAAAAAATTGATATGAAACCCATGAAACCACCAACAAAAATGTAAAGCTAGCTTCCGTACTAGAACATGGTGTCAGTCGTCGAGATAATTTATCGTTCTGTTTAATAGATCAAGAAATGTAAATATTCCCCTGTTATTTTTTATAAAATTATAAGAGAAATAATTTTTTTTCTAAATAGTATAGTTTATTATTTTGTAGAAAAACAAAATTTCAAAAAATTTTAGTAATGTTTCAGAAACAACCGTTATTAATAATAGGTATCATTTTCCTTAATAAGTTAGAAATAAAATATAAACTATTTCCACGATTTACAAAGGCCTACAAAAAAATTATAGGTATTTTCCGCTATCCTATAAAATTTATATTTTCTGACTCAATTTCAAAAGGTTGAAGGAATTCCAAAACACCTTTTATGGCATAATAATTATTTTCAATTCTACATACTATCTTTAGCTGCTTTTAAAAACGTTCTAAGAAAGTCCAATCAGACCAATTTAATCCCTAAACTATTCCACACTTTTAAAATTTAATTACCTAAAAATATTAAAAACTATTTAAAATAACTTGTTTAGCAGACTGTACAATAGCTATCTTAGTCACATGTAGCGCGTTCTCTGTCTGGGCGTCGAACACCTCTAAAAATTTGATGAACTTGTAGTTTAATACTATACTTTGTCCACGACCATTATGGTTTCTTTATTAAATAAAAGTTAAGTGTAGAATGGAAAGTTTTTATTAAACATAGGTAACTAACTGTTGTTTTTTCCAATTTTCAATTTTTCGATTTTCGATTTTCGATTTTTCGATTTTTTGATTTATAGATTTTGAGATTTTTCGATCTAGAAAATATCGTTATGAAAAGTATCGCCTATCTTTAGTTATCTACCGGAATGTGCCAGAATTACAAAAGCATGAATTATCATAATTCACTCCGTGATATATGGGTACTATATGCTTTTAGTTAGGAGGTAGAAGATTGATTTATTATTAAGTGGTCGTGGATAAAAAATGTTATTTTGGACATTTAAAAAGATCACGTGATTGTCAATTTGCATGTCATTCGTTATCATTTTTAAAGCAACAGAAGATGGCAAAGTCAAAATTCATGTATGTATATATTTATTTTATCCTCTAAACATTTATAGAGGTGCTGCAATAGGTTGTACAAAATAACCGGAACAAGCCTGTAATAACTAGATAGGAAAGTCATGTGTTGGACACATCAGATTTTTAATGTCTTTGAGTTGAGGTTAACCAACTATCACATTTGGGGGTCTAGAGTGAATAATTACGAAGTTATAAAATTAATTTAAAATATGTGTGTTTGTTTCTGCACTTAGGTATAAATCTTTATTGTATTTTGCATACAAAATATAAAAAAATGTTGAAATAAAATACTGTTAATTAAAAACGTCATTCTGATGACATCGGACCCAAATTCCATTAAAAAGACCGTGGTTTGGAAAAATAAAAAAAATTGAGTAGAAGGGATATAAGTACCGTATGCAGATTAAGAAGCGGTCATTGTTTAAGTATGGTGCATCTAAATAAAATAGGTGTAAAAGAAAATGATAGGTGTAAGTGTGGAGAACGGGAGGATTTACAACATATTTTTTTTTTAATTGTCAGAATAATTTTTATAATATTTATACATTTTTAGAGAATTTAGATATCCCAAAAAATTTTATAGTTCGTGTTACCCTTTTTGATATTTTTTAAGCATCTGTCTTTTGGTAGTGTTAAAAAAATCAAAATTTTTACAAATGTCTAAAATTAAGCTGTAAAATATTGTAATTATTTACCTGTTGCTACCAAATGACTGTATCATCCTACCTATGTAGGCCAATAAATTAAAAAAAAAACATAGTGTCACTGGTGTTTCCTAGATGGTTCCAACGAATTCTGTTTGTGCGCAAAAAAAAACAGTACGTGTATGTCAGTTGTCACTTTATTTTTTTTTCATTTTATTTTTTTAAATCCCACTGACAATCCTAATTCTCATCTTACAATTCTCATCATATTAACAGCTACCAATTATCAAAATTTTATTTTTTGTTTCATTCTACAATTCACTTTTCGTAATTACACGTTTTTTTTTTATTGAAAATTAAATGTTGGGACAATAAACGATTTTTATTATTAAGTAGACATGAAAAACAAAATATGCTAATTTGGAGTCCTTTGTATATAAAGCCAAACTGATTTTTTTTGATCATGTTATCTATAATTACGCGAGAAATAAAATAAAAATAGAAAAATTTAAGTACGCATTTATAGAAACAATCGGATACTTGATTTCTGAATGTATGGTTGTAATCTCATTAGACACAGAGATCGTTAATTGAAGAACAATTCTTCTATTTTAATACCGCAATCAACTAGATAAAAAATAAATAAAATTCATTTTTAATACAATTATTCATTTAATTAATTACTGATAATAAAATTGCGCAATTGTATGCGAAATATTAAACAAGGAAGTATTTTATTACCACTGCAATCTTATCTTTTTTATACTTTTACACTAATTTATTTTTCTATATTATTTTAGGTATGTTTATTTTATTAATTTTTAATTTTGTATTGATTATAATGGGTTATTGATTTATATATTTTCCATTAAAGTATACATGTTTCTGAATAACAATTTTTTTTAATTTAATTATAAAAATTTCTACTTTCAGATTAGCATATAAACTCTAAACATTTGATTTTTTAGATTTTGTGTATTTACATCATTTATCTATTATTAGGCCTGCCTCGTATCAACACTTTAGTTGCAATATACATGTCGACCTTGGTTAGCAAGAAGACCGACGAATCTGGCTTTCAACCAACTAATTTACAGAAAGTCAGCTCCTTTTTTCTACCGCCAATTTTCTTTTATTTATCAAAATGTACGTTTGAGAGACTAAAAATAACTTTAACAATTTAACATATACCTGGTTCATTAAAATCTTTTCAACTGTAAAAGTAACAATTTTATGACAATGTGAACCTACCTTAATATTTCTACATTCTTAGTGTTTTTATTATTTTCAAGTTGGTAGCTAGTGTTGTGAATATCCGTATCTTTTTAGTATTCGGATAATACGTATTCGGAACCAAGAGATATTCGGATTCATCATCCGGATACGTATCCATATGTGTGAAATCATAATACGCAACCGTAAATACACCGCGACCTTGGGAATCGGAATCGGGCAGTGTGTCAACCCTAGCAGAATTTATGTTTGAGAGTGAAGTAACAAAATAAATCTCAAATATTTTGTTTTTTATCATAATATCAGAAACAAAATTTCTCATTTATATTTATATAACTTCATGTTACCTTTAAAATATGCAGTGCATGCCGACTAACCGATTATGAATTGCAACAACGCTAGACGATTCCGAATTCTGATTTCGTATCCATAGTTCGTATCGGCTGCCACCCGCAAAACCCGAATCGGCTCTGTCATAACAGAACTTGCAGCATTCGATTCGTGTATTACGATTTTGTTTCTGTTCTTTTTGATACCGAATTCGTATTCGAATATACACTATTGATTCCGGAATATCCGGATCCTTTTAATATTCGGATTCAACGGATTTTTGGATACGTATTCTTACATCACTAGGTAGAACTGTTGTTCTTGTTTTAATGGCCGTTGTAAACGAAAGGATTTTTGTAAGCGGTTTTGAATAAAATGTTTTGCAACGATTTGGATACCTGGTGTAGTATAAGAGGCCGAAAATACATAATAAATTTAATATATACTTGCTTTGACACTTTATTTCTACTAAACACGACATAAAACATAAGTCACATCTTCAAAAAAGAACAACCACATGTGAAGTCCATAATTAACCTAATTTACCTGTCATTATATGGTCTTTTACGTATATGGCTATTTACATACTCTTACATCACATGGCCTCTTACATGTGTGGCTAACGAATGTTGTATATGATTCTACTTTATTTCTTACCTTACGTTAGGATCCCCACCATATTGCAAAATCAATCGGGTTACGTTTATGGCGAAATCGGCATTATCGCTGCCTATGACCAGATGAAATGAAGATATTCCTTTTGTCGGTACTATGATATTGGGGTTGGCGCATTTTTCGTATAGCAACGTTTTGACGGCACTGGAAGAAACAAAAGTATATTAAAATATAAGACAAACATTAAGTAGATTTGCACTTTTTAAAATGGGAAATGTGTTCAATTGATAAAGAGAAAGAAAGTAGCTGGGTAGATAAACCTTCAAGTGTTCAAAAACGTCGTTTTTCGACGTTTTATCTAAAGTATGCTTGACATATGATAGTGTCAATGTCATCTATCAAACGTCGAAAACGACGTTTTTAAACGCTTGAAGGTTCCTAGGAATTGAACTTCTCGTATGTGAAGTGGTGGGGGGCCTCCACTCCGCTTTTTACCAGCCGTTTTTCGATGTTTTTCAACGTTTTTCTTATAGTTATAGGATTTAAAATAAAATCAAAAGCGCTAAATACCTCGAAAAAGGGCTGGTAAAAAGTGGAGTGGTGGGGAGGTTCCCAAGTGGCCCATTACCTACTCAACTGAGCACCTAGGGAATTCTGAGATAAAACATGTGCCATATTATTAATCTATTTTTATACTCTATTCAAAAATTTAATGCTACTCGTTTATTACAATAATCAAGCCAGCAGATAACCTCAATTTTTTTTTTCTACACACCAGCACTTCACATTTTTAGGCTGATGTAATAAAGTTAAATTTGCATTATTAATTTAAATCATATAATGGGTTCGAATATTCATTGATCCGCTAAAACGGATTAGGTTTTTTTTGCCTCTTTATATTCAAGGGAAATATGATTCGAATTTGATTTATTATTTTAAAATTTTGTTTAACAAAATATTGAAACGTTATACAATAATACAACATAAAGTAGATTTTAATAGGTACATCAGATTAGTTTGTACTACTTTCAGAAGAAATTAATAAGTAAATGCTTTTCTTCACTACGCCCATGGTTTGTTTATAATTTTGGTGTTGAAAATAAAGATTGGAGCGTTTTTTGTGGCAAAAAAGTTGTTTCTTGAAGAAAGATAACAAGAGAATGCCTCATACTTATTTTAAATAGGAATTTAGTACATAGTTTGCGATTGATTCGACCAAACTTTGTTGTTAAAATACCTTTTAACGCTTTATACATAAATTAACCATCGTACATTCCACGCCAGAAAGGGTTGAAATTATCGAAACATAAATAGTATTTATTATCTTGAATGACTTGCTTGGGACCGCAAAGCCACTTCATTTCAGGTATCTACATACTATCCACGGTTCATTAAATTTCCGAGTCTCCGTGCGAATAGAGTATCCCTATCTCCACGTGACTCTCTTTGTTAAGGTATATTAGGCATTGGCATTTGGCATCGCCCTATTCCATCAGACCATTGAACTCCCCGACAGTGGAACGCTCCTGCGCGATTCTGCCAACCTGATCAAAAATAGGACAGTTCTGCAATATTTAGCGGCACTAAAATGCATGCGTCTTAGAGTTTTTAGAGAAAATCCTTCAAAAATTACACATATTGGTTGCCTATATCAATTTTCAGAATTGGAGATCTTCTCCGACCTCTATTTTTTATTACAATTTCTTATCTAGAACTTGCTTACTATTAAATTAATTTTAATGAAGCTGTACCGGAGATATTTTGTGATTTGACCCAGGCGTTTGATTGTAACAATCATACAATATTTACGGAATGGAAAAAGAAGCGCTGATAAAATCTTATCTTTCAGAACGTAAGCTAATGGTAAGAATTCAAGTTTTAGATAAAAGTTGGGTACTTCCGCAGGGTTCCATATTGAGTCCCATTTTATTCCTTTATATAAATGACTTAACTCAACTTAAAATTGATTTTCTCACTCTATTTGTTAATGACACTACGATTTTATCTTCGAGCATATATTACTAGAGCCATCGTCCAAATGAACTTTGTTTTGGTACATGGGGAGAAAAATACTGTCCAGCATTCCCATTGGTCTGTTTGGTTTTGCTTGGCATGTCAAATCGTTCGAAATTGTCAGAACTGTTATTTGATTTTGGTTTTTATTAATTTCTAGCTTATTTTTGTAGTTTATAAGTGATTTTTTGTATTTCATTACTTTAGTAATACAAATTTTAACAGTGATGAGAGTTTGTGTTAGTTGTAAACAGAAATATGAAAAGGCTTCGTCAAAATCATTTCACAAGTAAGTAACAATTAGCGTCTCTACCATTTTTTTAAAGAAACATAGTCCTACATTTTATGCAAAAGGCTGTTAAACATGAATTTAAAATAAATAGTAAATTTAGTGAATTAAATTTAAAGAACTTGTATTATGTATGAGGAATATTGTTTTAAATTTTGGACTCTACTGAAAAGTTAAAAAAAAATTAATCATAATTTTTCAATATAAAAAACTTTTCGTTTTCAAGTCATTTTATCATGATAATGTTGAAGATGTTAAATCAATATTTTTTAGTGACAATCTGAACTATGAAGCCTCTGTTGCAGAAAAAGAAAATGCAAAATTAGAAAACATGTAATTAACTAGGTACTTTTTAATACAACATAAATTTTATTTTCAAATACTTATTACTACCTATATTTTGTATAAACCACAAAAACTGCTAGTCGTTAAGAAATAAGCAAAGCCTAATGTGAGTTTATCAATCAAAAGTGATTTTAAGCTTCTTTTATTTGCACTTCTAGTCATTAAGAAATAATCGAAGCCTAAGACAGTTTTACAATAAAAATTAAGCTTCACTTATTTGTTAACGACTGACAGTGCAAATGTACCTAAGTATTAGCTTGATTTCTATTTGCAGTATATCGTTTAGTAATCTATTGAACATTGTTTTCCGAACAATATTTTTATATTTAATAAATTATTGGAAAACATTCTTGTATTGTAATTCTCGTTTGATTTTTAAATATAAGCTTTTAATCTTTTTTATTGCCTATTATTTCAAACTTAATTTTTTCGTTATACACTGTCTGATGTTTGAATTAAAAAAATCTGATGTGTTCAACATAAATTACAATAATATTATTAATAATAATTTACTATTACTAGATACCTACTTAAATAATGCAAATTTATAAAATATGTGCATAATTTAAAGAATTTTAAAGGTATGTATCAAATTTATTATTTATAATAATTGCAAACCCCGTAAAAATGATGCGATACTGGTAATAGTGTCTACGCATTTCCCCTCTTAATCCAAACAAACACTGCTCAAAAACTTAAAATTGAATAAAAAAATCAGTAAAAACTTCAAACTGCTTAATAAACAATATAACTCCAATGAAAAAAATGTATTCAAAAGTACGTATATACTAAGAATCTGTAATTTGTAACAAAAGAAAAAAACGTCTCTTTGTTTATTTTAGCTGTTTACATACATGACATAATATTCAATTTCTTGTCACTATCTTCAATGGAAGGTTCAGGTACCGTGTCTTTAACATTATTGGATACAGGTAGATTGTGATAATGGTGACATTCATCAGGTGCAGCACCTGATTTGCTTACTAATATGTTGCACTGTTTTGTAAGTATTTCAGAGCTTTTTTTCACCCTTTCAGACATCCCTCTGGCTTGAGATATTCAAGCAATACGAAAATCTGGTGTTTCGGTGATTTAAGAAGTGCTTTTGGTCGTTTTAATAAGAAAACAATATGGAGACGAGCGTCAATACCTCCGCTCGTTATAACTTGACCAATCACTCGTTACGGCTTGATTAATCAATCACTAACCACGGCGATTCGGGTAACACGTGTTATCATCTATTGTTTTTTAAAGGTTAGCTGTATCGTGAAAAGAAAGGGTGACATAATCACCTTGTCGATTTCGGACCAATCGAAAATGGCCAGAGACGGCTCTAGACAAAACAGAACAAATGGCTTGGCAAAAATGTTGAAGTATTTCAACTAATACATTCAACAAAAATAAGTGCTCTACCTGTATCTTGTTTTGGCAAAAACAGTGTTAGGAATCGGACTAAACACATTTGACGGAATACAACGTTATGATTATACAGTGCGTCCATAAAGTAACGCATAAATTCATTATTGGCTAAATGAACAATAAAATTAGGAATTCCCAAAACAGGTCGATTTTTGATTTCAATTTACTATTGTTTCAAATCATAATCTAATATACAGGGTGAACCACTTTCGTGTAATGACGTCATCACCATTTTTTTCAAATGGAACCCCCCCCTTTTTTTTTAATTTCCAAATTGCCTTTGCTGAGCTGATTCCAAAAATGTATAATATGTTGCTTCAAATTGGTACAGGGTGGGCAAAAATGCAAAAATTTACTTACAAAGTAATGAAAATAACGAATAAACGTAATAAACACATTAAATGAAATTACGTATTGTTATTACAACTACTTTGATAAACTATCAAGAACATACAGCATTATTCTTATTAATTGTATCTTACAGCTTTTATTAGTGATTCAAGCCCCTGGACTATAAAAATCTTTTTGTTTGGCATTATCTTTTACCAGTTTTTTTTATTTGACATACCAGTTTTTTTTATTTGACAACACTGTCAAAAACATTGAAGCACAGTTTCGTATTGTTAACGCTGTAGAGAAGGTACGTTCGTGAACTTTTTTTACAAAATGCCTTTAACCGAAAGTGACAGGATTGAAATATTAATGATGATTGGTATTGGCGATAAGATGCGGACTCAACAAGAGGTATGCCGATTATTCCATGAAATGCACCCAGATCGTGAACCTATTTCACAATCTACGGTAAGTAGAATAGAGCGAAAATACAGAGAATTAGGACATGTGAGGGATGCAGCAAGGCAAGGTAGACCAAAAATTGATGAAAATATTCAACAAGACATAATTTTGTCGGCTGTAGAAAATCCACACTGTACAGTACGAGGATTATCTAGGGATTTTGGTATTGGAAAGCAGTATCAAACATTTTCAAAAAGGTAAAATACCATCCTTATAAAGTACGTCTCATCCATGAATTGGCTGAAGACGACTTTGACCGAAGAACTGAATTCTGCGAGTATATGATGAACCAAAATAACAATTTCATTGATAACGTTTTATTTTCGGACGAGGCAACGTTTTA